CCCCGCCACCGAGGCGCCCCGGCTCGCCACAGGCAGTTCGCCGGCCCGCGAGCGGAGCGGCGGGCACCGGCTGAACAGGGGGCGCAGGGCGGGCAGGGGGCGCGGGCACCCCGGTGTGCGGTGGTGGCGGCGGGGCGGGGCGGGCGCGCTCGGGGCTCCCGCGGCGGCGGGGCGCGGCGGGTGGATCGAACTTCTCGAGCAGGCGGCTGACTCGGCCGGGCGGCGGCGCCTCGAACACCAGCACCTCGGCGGCGCGGATGCCGGCGGACGGCGGCGCGGCGGGCGGGAAGCCGGGCGCCGACTCGATGATGAGGATGTTGTCGGCGCGGATTGTGCGCACTCCCGGCACACGGCGGTACAGCTCCAGCAACTGCTGCGCCGGCCGCGCCCCACGCCGCCGCTCAGACTCGAGCCGCATGAACGGGTTCTCGCGCAGCGGGCCCAGGCTCTCCGCCAGCACCAAGTGCTCGTCCGGCCCCGCGGGCGCAGCGCCGGGCCCCGGACCCGTGCCCAGGGCAGCCAATTTGGCCCGCTTTCGCTCCAGGATCTCCCGCTTCCAGGCGGGCATTGCTGCGCGCGGCCCTGGGCCCGGCCGCCCAAGGCCGGCCATGCTAGGTACGCGGCCGCCGACGGCACTGGGCGGACGGCCCCAGCCACAGGCGCCGGGCACAGGGGCGCGCCGGCCTTCGCGCCACGCCACGCCCATGCCCGACCGCTGCCCATTGGGCAAGTGCACTCGGACCCGCCCCGCGCCCAGCCGCTCCACCTATGGTAGGGGAGGAGGCCAGCAGCTGTCTAATGAAGGACGCTCACCTGGAACGCCCTCCAGAGGCCTCATTGGACTATGCCTGGCGCCGGCCATTCCCTGTTGGGGAAGGGCCCCGGACACGCCCCCGGTCCTGGAACTTCATCCTAGTGGCCCCCACTTCCGCCTCTGCGCTCTGGGGCTCCAGGCGCCTTGGGCGGGCCAGAGGGCCGGGGCATGGAGCGCCCTCGGGCGGACCCCAGTCTCGCGCTGCGGATGACCTTGGCTGAGCCTGGACTTCCTCGTTGCACTAGCAAGCAGCCTGCAGGTTCCATCCACTGAGAGCACAGCGAGGAAGCTGTCAGCACGACGGCGGACAAAGTGCATGCTGCACTGCCCTCATGACCTAGGTGGGGAGTGCTATTGAGTGCACAACGTCTAGGTCCTCCCACCTGCGGTCCAACAACAGTGGACTCTCAGGCGAGGGCCCCTGAGAGACATAGGTGCCACTTCTGAGCCCCGCCCCGCCCTAAGGAATGGGTTTCTCTGCAACCCTAGGTTTTGCAGCCTCTCAGACTGCATTGCTCAGAAAAGTGTGTGAATCTCTTGTTACAGGTGGTGCTTCCCAGTACCTACCACAGTAGGACCTATCTTCGAGGAGACACACCAAGGAAGCCTACTTGCTCTCATACATAAGTAGTCCTGCAGGGCCCTGCACACTTGGACAGCTCTCAGATGCAGAAAATCACAAAAGCCAGAAGCTTCACGTGAGCAGCCCGTTGTCACACCTTTTATCTGTTTAAGGTCCCTCCCCCCGGGCTGGGTGGAAGTGCCTTTAACGCTGAGGGCACATCTTTGAGCTGGTATCTTGGTGACACAAAGTTTTCTTCTCTGGGGAGGACTGCACAATGCTCACTATATTCTTTCCAACCCAGGGACAGTAGGGAGATTGCTTGGAGCCAACAGGAAGAAGGGGAAATTGGAAAGCACAGAGAAGTGGCAGTCTGTCCTTCACCTGTCCTGTAGTTAGCAGTGGTCTCAGTACAGACATCACGGTCTTCCACTCCACTTACCTTTCAGGAACTCTTCCCAGCAGCACCTGGGTCTCGGCAAAGACACGGAGTAGGCTTTGGCCTAAGTGTCCCTTCTCAGCTTCAGGGTCCCCTGCTACCATCATAACTCTGCCTTGCCCTCCCAACTTCTCCATTAAGCTGGAGAAAAACTGGATTTCAATCTTCCAGAAGCTTTTCAATCCACCTTTACAAAGCCTCATGCTTCTCACTTCTGCAGCAGCAGAATGCCAATTCCAAATTACTGAAATAAAACAGGAGCACACAAAACAGTGACTCTAAAAATAAATAACCTATGGGCTGGGGCTGGGGCTCAGTGGTAGAGCACCTGCCTAGAATGCAAGTGCGTGAGGCACTGGGTTAGATCCTCAACACCATATAAAATAAAGTTATTGTGTCCATCTACAACTAAATATATACACACACACACACATATAAAAACAAGGGCTGGGGATGTGGCTCAGTGGTAGAGCACTCACGTAGCACGTGCGAGGCCCTGGGTTCAATCCTCAGTACCACATAACAAAAATAAAGGTATTGTGTCCAACTACAACTAAAAAATAAAATATTAAAAAATAAATAAATAAATAACCTACAAGAAAAACCACCCCAATGTTCAGCTTGTATGTCTTTAACAAAATTTATGCCAAACTTGGTAGGAGACATCTTTGTAGCTGTGAGACAAACTATACACATGTCTCCAACTCAGGTATCCCAAAGGCTAACATGACCAGGCAAAGGGGAATGAAGCTTAAGGTTGTCCAAGCTACTGTACTGGTGCAACAGTCAGCAGGCTTGTTCTTAATGGGCCAGACGGTGTTTTAGCCCAGTGGGTCTCAACGGGACAGTTGAGGACTTGCAAACATCAGGCTAAACTTTTGATTGTCACAAGCAAAGGGTGCTGCTGGCATCCAGTTTAGCAGAGGCCAGGGATGATGCTAAACCTCCTACACATTCAGGACAGTCCCTCCTACACCCTCAATAAAAATGACCTGGCCCAAAAGGGTTAAATGATGAGATTGAGACCCAGGGTCTCATATATTTGTTCTCCGTCACACTTTTTTTTTTTTTTTTGGTACCAGGGATTGAACTCAGAGGCACTTGACCACTGAGACACATCCCCAGCCCTACTTTGTATTTTGTTTAGAGACAGGGTCTCACTGAGTTGCTTACTGTCTCACGTTTGCAGAGGCTGGCTTTGAACTCACGATCCTCCTGTCTCAGCCTCCCCAACTACTGGTATTACATGTGTGCTTCCCCACACCCAGCACACATTCATCTTTGCTGTTATTTTGGAGTTTGTTTGATACTGGAGATTGAGGGAGACCTTGTTTCAAAATTAAAAAAAAAAAAAAAAAAGATTAAAAGGGCTGGGGATGTACCTCAATGGCTAAGTGCCCCCAGGTTCAATCAGTACCAAAAAAATAGCCTCAGGCCACTGGGTGCAATCCTGCTCTATAGATCCCCCCCAATAATAGCCACGCACTGGCAAGAAGTCAGGGCTCTGGTGTCACACAAACTATTTAGCAAGTCGACTCTGTCCTGGTCTATTGTCTTTATCCTGCAGGGCAGAGTTGACAACTTCCTATTCTCCCAGAAGTCCACCACCACACTTTTTGGTCTACCTACAACCTCAACTCTGTAATGAGTTACCACTCCACATAGCAGAGAGTATCTTAGCATTTGTCTTATTCAAGAGAGGTATGGTGACAATATAAATGTCAGGAAAACATTCTCTTATTTTATTTTCATCTCAGCAAATGTTCTCATTTGGCACCTAACTGGCATCAAACCAAAGACCTCAAGGCCAACAATCTGGGCTGCTCACAAGGTTCCATAAGTAAGTCTCTGTGCCATGAGCATCAGAGCACCTGTTTCTGTCTTTGGTCCCTTAGAAAGGCCTAAATCTGTCCCAGATGCACTAATGGTGCTGGCCACAAGGTGGTGGGAAAGTCCTGAAATTGCAATCTGCTGGAACAGGAAGCCAAGCTATGACTTGCTAGTAGAGTGCTTTTCTCAGGTGGCAGATATACAGATAGGGTCATAATCATGCAGGGAGAGGTGGGGCGGAGCTTTGAGCTCTTCCCTCAGTGCTACTGGCTGGACAAAATCCTAATCCAGTTTTGCCGCCTTCATAAAGAAGTACATCCCCAGGATCCATGCTGAGTATTCAGAGTCCACCAGGACATTTTAATTATGTGCAGTTTCCTACTGTTAGAGTAGTTCAGGACCGGCTGGGCTGGGTCCCTTCTTAGGATCACAATTCAGGATTAGCTACTCAAAGCATGAATAACAGGAAATGCATTTCAAGGATGGAAGCTGCTCTTTTTTAATCCTGCTGAAGAAACAATGTTAGACTGGCATAGAGAAAACTGGACACTCAGCCGGGCACAAGCGGACGCTGCCTTCAAACCAGTGTCTCTTCTCCAGCGTGATGCAATTAGGGCCTCAGCAGGAGTCAAGCAGTTCAGTTGTGCAACTCTCCTTCTCCAATCCCTGAGAGATTAGTTGACGCGACAGGCGCGGATCATGAGCAGCTGCAGCAGAATGAAGACTGGAGATGCGATCAGGCCGAACCAGAGCTCTCTTGTCTGCTCCACCAGCTTCTGGCACAGCAGCATCTCAAAGACGAACTTGAGGCTAAGGACTGTGAGAATCCAGAAGAGGCGCAGCACTGCCAGCCGCTTCTCCCCGTCTTGGAAGAGGCGCACAGACACGATAGTGGTAAAGTAGGTGCTGAGGCCGTCAGCAGCGAAGAAGGGCACGAACACGTTCCACCAGGAGAGGCCCGGGGCGAGGCCATCCACTCGCAGTGCCAGAAGCACGGAAAACACCAACAGGGCCAGCAGGTGCACGAAGATTTCGAAGGTGGCAAAGCCCAGCCACTGAACCAACTCCCGCAGCGAGAAGAGCATCGCGCCGGCGGGGCGCGGGCCAGAGCCCGGCCGCCCGCGCCCCTCGCGGCGCCGCGCCCCCTCTGCCCGCGGGCCCGCCCGCCGCCCGCCGCCGCCGCTGCGACCGACAGGCAGCGAGCGGCCCCGCCCGCCCCGGCCCCCGGCCCCGGAGCGCCGCCGATCCCCCGGACCCGGCCCGGGACCCAGAACTAGTTGCCCGCGGACACCCGCTGCGCCCCGACGCCATGCCCCGCCGGCACGGTCCGTTGGCGTCACTTCCGGGCGACCACAGAAGCAGGAAGTCGGCCTGCGACTTCCGGGCCGGTTCTGCCGCGGGGCTCTCGGCGCTGTGCGATGCCGGCACCGCAGCTCCTGGTGCTCTTTGGCAGCCAGACGGGCACGGCCCAGGATGTGGCGGAGAGGGTGGGCCGCGAGGCGCGGCGCCGGCGGCTGGGCTGCCGCGTGCAGGCGCTGGACTCGTACGCCGTGGTGAGAACCGGCGGCCGAGGCGGACACTCTCCGCCCTGCCCCTGCGGTTTTGGGCGAAGGGGGGCTTGGCACCGGGGCTGAGAGAGAGAGAGGCCGCCGGCCCCGCTCCCCTGCCGCCCGGAGTGAAGGAGAGGGGGCAGGTCGGGAGCGTGCCTGACGGTGACAGCCAGAGGTCTTACATCTGTGTCTTTTCGTTGAGGCCAATCTGATCAGGGAGCCCCTGGTGGTGTTTGTTTGTGCGACTACCGGGCAAGGAGACCCTCCTGACAACATGAAGGTAAGACCGGCGTGATGTAGCTCCCTCCGCCCTCAGCCGCGTCTTCGTTACCTGGAGAGTCCAAGTAGCACAATGAGCAGTTGCCCTTCGATAGCAGGCGCGCGTTAGAGCCAGGCTGGAGAGAATGCCTTTGAGTGGAGCTGATGGGGGCTCTGCTTGTCCTCTTTATCGAACTCTTCGCAGCCACCAAATAACCTTGTTCTCCATTTTACCTGTTTGTGTGCTTTCAGAACTACATAGGAACCTGGGCTGGGTTCTTTTGAAGGCTGTGCAGCATTCGGGGAACATTTAATTGTTTGATCACCTCCGAGTGCATATTATACCCCTGGCACCAACATGTGCTGGAAATCTAGCAGTGAACCCAGCAGTCACATTTCTACCCTCACACTTGCAGAAACAATAGGTCTAATGGACTACTGCAATGCCTGGAAATGCCTGCTGCTGGGGAAAGTGTCAGTTGCTACGGGAGCCTAAAGCCTTAGGCAGAACTCTCTGGAAGGAAGGAGTATAGGTTGAGTTTTGGGATGAATGGAACAGGATAGGGAAGAAGAAACAGCCTGTGCAGAGGAGAAGGATGAGATTGCCTATGTGAAGAGCAGAAGACAGTTGAGCATGGCCTAGCCAGGACAGCACTGGGAAAAGAGCAGGGGAGGAAAAGCAGGAAGCCTGGCTGGTTCCAAGAGGTGGGCCGCACTAGAGATGACTCGGAATGGGCTGATACTGTGAGACTGACACAGTCACACTCACACTCTGCCAAGAACACCATCTGTTTGTAGGGGGCCAAGAATAATGATAGGAGATCACAGCACAGGCAAGAGAAGCTGGTGGTCTGAGGTGAGGTGGTGGTAGAAAGCAAAGCAAAGTGGACACATTCCAGAGAATTTTAGAAGGTAAAGTCAACAGGACCGGTAATGGAAGGGAACTGGAAGATGAGGAAGAAAGTTTACTAGCAGCAGGGATTTGGGCTTGGGAACTAGGTAATTCCACCTGCAGAAAGAGAACATGGTGGGGCCAAGTGCCTAGAGACATCTGGGGAAGTACAGTAGGTCGGACCTCCAGGAGGGTCCTGGGGTGAAGCCAGTGTGGGATCAAAATATAGAGGTTTGTGCTTGGCGTGGTGGCACATGCCTGTAATCCCAGCAGCTCAGGACACTAAGGCAGGAGGATAGTGAGTTCAAAGCCAGCCTCAGCAAAAGTGAGGCACTAAGCAACTCAGTGAGACATTCTCTCTACATAAAGTACAAAATAGGGCTGAGGTGTGGCTCAGTGGTCGAATACCACTGAGTTCTATCTCTAGTACTCCCCCACCAAAAAAAAATAGAGATGTCTGAGAAAAGGAAGCCCCTCCCTTCCCCAGGACTGCCATCCTGAGCTAAGCATAAAATGGGGCAATGGGATGCAGCCACGCAGTGAGGAGATGAAGAACAGCTTCCCCAAGTGGGTGCTTCAAGTAGAACTATAGTCATTAAAGCCACACGTAAGTCCAGAAATAGGCCTGAGAGAGAGTTCCTGGGATTGCTGGTAGTCATCAGGGAGAGCAGTTTCAGTGGCTTGCAGGTAGAAAAGACCCGTAATAAAATGAGTGAGCAGGTGGGAGGATCATTTGACAATATTTAGGCATTGATTTAAAAACACATTCTGGCTATGAAAGGACTAAGGAGTTCAAAAGAGGACATTTATAAGATGGAAGAGACTGGCATGCTAAATGTTGATGGGAAAGGGTAGCGGGAAGAAGGCAAATGCTGTGGGGAGGCTGGGGTAAGACCTGAGCACATCTGGGATCCCCACAGACTGAGAGGGACAACAGAAAAGGAGGGCTGGGGGAACGGGCAGGAGGTGTGTGGTGGGAGGGGCCTGTCTGGGAGGTGAGAGGAAAAAGAAATCTTCCTCAGGTCTTGGGTGTCAGGGCAGCCAATGGCACCAGGGAGATGATGGGTCATACCAGAGTTTAGATGGCCAGAGAGAAGAAGAATGCCATGGCAAAGAGCCAGAGCGGGGAGCCAGTGTTGGCTGCCTTCTCAACCACAGCAAGAACTGGGGCTGTCTGAGAGGCCGCTGGGCAGGAAGGCCCTGGCCTCTGCTTGGGTCTCATGGGGAATGCTGCAGTAAAGAAGCCAGAGCCCTGCTCATCCACTGGTGGCAAAACCCATTGTGTTACAAGTGTATCCCCAAGGTCTCCCATCAGTCTCAAGTACAGGTAGACCACAAAACACCACAGTACAGTGAAGCAAAGACCCCAGTAAAAGGTAGAGACCTAGAGAGACAAATGGAACTCAGGAGCAGAGCCCAAGACCCTGAGGGAGGCCTTTAAAGACTGGGCGGTGCAGCTCAAGAATCGCACCAGGCAGCATAACAAAAAAAGTGGAAGGAAAAGGGCAGAACTCAAAGTTACTCCAGGAAAGGTAGCAGGGGGATGATCACAGAAAGTAGCAGAATGTCCCTGGACTGGAGGACAAGTTGCCAGCCTGAGAGTAGCGGTGTACCTGGAGAGGGCCATGCCAGCTGCGGAAGGGGCAACAAGGCATTCCATGTAGTTTCTGCTGCTGGGGACAAAGCATGTTCCAGTGGCTGACAGGGAGAGAGGCACAGCAGGCATGTGGCTCTGGCTTCTCAGGCCTGAGGGAGTGGCCCCAGCCCAGCAGCCCCAGGCTGCTGAGGGTATGTAGAGGATTCTGGTACTTTGAGATAGGCCAGGGTACAGGCTGGAGCAGGAATGAGCCCTGAGGCTTCAGGAAACAGGTCTCAGGAGGCAGAGCCTTTGTTGGCCATATGTGGGACAGGCAGCAGGACAGAAGTGTACCTACATACACAGGCTGCCCTGGGCTGAAAGTAGGGAGGTGACCAGCACGCTCCTGGCAAGAGGGCCTCTGGTGCTATGGAGGAGCAGGAAGGCTGCAAGGTAGGTGTGAAGGGGAGTCACTCTTGACCTGTGCGCAGCCAGCTCCTGATCCTCCAGTCAGGGATGGACAAGGACAGTACCCAGAGGCGCTCAGCCTCAGACCTCAAGGTCTGGGTATAGCCCCCAGGGGAGGAGAGGCTTACACTTCTGCTGGGAATGGCAGACGTGGAGGTGAAGGTCCCTATGGGGAAGGGGGACAGTTTGGGGAGCCAGTACAGAGCAAGGAGGGAGTTGGGGTCCAACAGAGGATTCCAGGGGTGGCTCAGAACCCATCAGAGGGTCCAGCCCAGAGCCACTGCTGTGACCAAACAGGCCCATGCCCAGCGTTAGCCTGAGAACTGGCTCAGGACTTGTGGTGTGACTGGGAGAAGTCAGTGCCCTGGGGGGCCTAACTGGGAGCAGAGGGCCGAGGAGTGGGACTGGGGGCAACCATGGCCACCTGACCTCTTTGTGATGCTGATTCTGGGTGATGGTGGGGTAGCTTTATAACTGTGCACATTTTCTGAAGTTTCTTGTCATCCTGATAGAATAAAAATAGTTTTAAGAAGGAAAGTCTTAAGCAGCAGGCAGACGGACGCCCTGGGAAGGTAGGCTCACAGTGTGTAGCCTTCCTCCCACTGGCAGGCAGCCCTGCTCCTGCCAGCCTTTCTGCATCCTGGGGGTCAGCCCAGCCCTGCCCTGTGGTCAGATGTCCTATCTCATTTTGCCCCATCCAGTCCTCTTCCCCTTCCCTGATCCCTCCTCGCCACAGGGTCAGCCTAGAGGTAGAGACCCTAATGTGGGTTTCCTGTGCCTCTAGAACTTCTGGAGGTTCATATTCCGGAAGAACCTGCCTTCCACTTCCCTCTGTCAGATGGACTTTGCCGTCCTGGGCCTTGGGGACTCCTCCTATGCCAAGTGAGTAGGGGTCGATGGGCACACTGGCCAGCATTCTGGCCTGACCGGGACAGTTCTCCAGGCCAAGTGAGAGGTGCCCTGGTGGAGTGACAGGTGACCTGGCCTCCAGGCTATGTGGGCCTCACAGTAGGGGAGGGACAGACAGGGAGCAGGCAGAGGAACACAGCACTACCTTGGATCCAGGCCAAGGCTCGGACGAGTGAGCATCACATCCCAACCTGTGGTAACTCCAGCAGAGATCAGCCTGGTCCTATTCCTTACCAGGTAGGGAACAGGCTGGGCCTGTAATCTCAGCGGCTCAGGAGGCTAAGACAGGAGGATTGCAAGTTCAAAGCCAGCCTCGGCAACTGAGCAAGGCCCTACGCAATTTAGCAAGGCTCTGTCTCAAAAAGGGCTGGGGATCTGGCTTACTGGCTAAGCACCCTTGGGTTCAATGTCCAGTACCAAAACAAAACAACAACCAAGTAGAAAACACTGTGAGGTTGCAGGATCTGGAAAGAGCTCTGAGACGGCAGCCCACTCTGTGGGCCTTACCTGGCAGGGCATGACTCCCGGCTTTCCTCTTACAGTGTTTTTGTGACACAGAGCCACTGTCCCTAAGCAAAAAATGGTGTTACTTTGCATCATTTCCTAAGGAGATGATGAGGGGTTTGTGTTCAAGCGTACAGATGGCATTTTATGACACCAAAGTTTTGAAAACTTCCTGTGGAAGGGAACCAGGGCTTTCCAATGCCACATGCCATTCTGATACCACAAGCTGTGTGCTCAGTAGGGTTCTTAGTCACTAGACAAAGGGGAGAGAATGGGAACTCCACAGCCATGTGACCAACTCTGCTGCAAGATCTTGTTCCTTGGCGGTGTGCACACATACCAGAGCAGCTGGAAGGGAGCCCCAGCTGCAGGGCTCACCCCTAGTGTGGTCCCTGGAGGTTGTGGTGTGGTGTGGTGCCTGCAGGGTCTAATTGTGCCTTTGTAAACCAAAGAGAAATGAAACCAGCCTCCAGGAGGACCTCTGACTTTTCCCTGCAATTCAGGGTGTCTAGCCAGAGAACCTGGAGGCCATGGTGGTCTTCAGCCCCCACTTGGGGATGAAATGATAGGTGGACCAGACTGTGTCTCCCCACATGGGCTCTTGGCATGGCAAGGCCCTGCTGTTCATGGCACCTGTAGGGCCCTGGTCCCCTTGTTTCCCCTGGCATGTCACAGCCCTGCCCTCTCTGATGGTGCAGTCAGTGTGGGACGCCTCCACCTGAGGGAGGATCTTCTGCCCCAAGCATGGGTGAGCCTCGCTGTCTCCATAGGTTCAACTTTGTGGCCAAAAAGTTACACCGCAGGCTGCTACAGCTTGGGGCCAGTGCCCTCCTGCCCATATGCCTGGGGGATGACCAGCATGAGCTGGGGTAAGCATGGGTGGTGATGCCCCTGGGGGCTCTGGCCAACAGGCCAGCCAGTGCCCTTGACGACGCTTGTGCTCTCTCAGGCCTGATGCCACCATCGACCCCTGGTTGGGAGACCTGTGGGAAAAGGTGCTGGAGTTATACCCGGTGCCCATTGACCTCCCTGTGATCCCCCATGGAGTCCCGTGAGTGTGGGCCTTGGGTCAGCACTGGAGGTGCCACAGACTGGGTGTGGCCGAGAACCTCATCCTGGTCCCCTCTGGTGTGGGTATGTTGCCCCCAGGAGGGAAGGCCATGATCTGATGTCTCTGACATCCCCACAGCTTACCCTCCAAGTTCACCCTCCAGTTCCTTCCGGAGGCCCCCAACCCAAGCTCCAAGGAGTCATGCCTAGCCATCTCAGACTCTCTGGGACCCCCGTCAGAGTCCCAGCCCTTCCTGGCACCCATGGTCACCAACCAGAGGGTCACAGGTCCCTCACACTTCCAGGATGTTCGGCTGATTGAGTTCGACATCACAGACTCTGGCATCAGGTAGGGGTTCGGAGCAAGCCTGAGACCTCAAGCAGGCAGCGGGGACAAGGTGCTTAGGTATCCTAGAAGCCAAAATGGGCAGGGCAACAGTGGGCAGTGGATCTGGGCTTCAGAAGAGTCTGCCAAAGCTGGGGAGGAGGCTTGACAGCAGGGAGGCCTCTACCCACAGACCCCCAGCCCTCCGTAGACATTTGCCTCCTTCCTCTGCAGTCTCCTGGGCCCCTACATATTCCCCCAAAGTATGTATCCCTGCCCTTGCCCTTCCTGCCCCATCTCCACGCCCTGGTGGCTTTCCCACACAGCTTTGCTGCAGGAGACGTGGTCCTGATCCAGCCCTCAAACTCGGCAGCCCATATCCAGCAGTTCTGCCACGTGCTGGGCCTGGACCCCAGCCAGTGCTTCGTGCTGCAGCCCCGGGAGCCAGGTGAGTTGGAGCCAGGCCAGACCTCAGTGGTGCCTGCTCACTCCACTCTCCCACATCCAAGGCCCCACCTGAGGTCCCAGCACACCAAGGTCTTCTGCTTCGACTGCAGATGTCCCCTGCCCACCGGGACTGCCCCAGCCCTGCTCTGTGTGGCAGCTCGTATCCCAGTACCTGGACATAGCCAGCGTGCCTCGCCGCTCCTTCTTTGAACTCCTGGCCTGTCTCTCCCCACATGAGCTGGAGCGGGAAAAGCTGCTGGAGCTCAGTTCTGCCCAAGGCCAGGAGGATCTGTGCGAGTACTGCAGCCGACCTCGAAGGACCATCCTGGAGGTGGGCAGGCCGCTGGGGGCCACAGAACTCTGAGCTGTGTTCACATTGTGGCTGTGCTGAGACTCTCTCTGTCCAGGTACTGTGTGACTTCCCACATACCGCGGGTGCCATCCCCCCAGAGTACCTGTTGGACCTCATCCCGCAGATCCGGCCTCGAGCCTTCTCCATCGCCTCTTCTCTGCTGGTGAGGCCTGGCGGGCCAAGCGGGGACTGGTCCTCGGACTCGGGCAGGGGGTGCAGGCAGGGGCCACACTCTTGACCGGAGATGGTCTTCCTGCCCAGGACTGCCACTGGGTGGAGTGGGTGGTGGGCAGGAGTGGCCTAGTGGGGCAGGGCACCTCTGTTCCCCAGGTTCATCCCAGGAGGCTCCAGATCCTTGTGGCTGTGGTACAGTACCGGACACGCCTCAAGGAGCCCCGCCGGGGCCTCTGTTCCTCCTGGCTGGCATCTCTGGACCCAAAGAAAGGTGCCTCCTGCTCCCGGGAGGTGGGAGAGGGAATGCAGCCCGGTTCCCCCATCTTTCCTGTGCAACAGTTGGTGCTAGGTAGATCCCTAGCAGGCTGCCCAGTCCGTCTTTGCACCCTTTATGACACCTCTCTCATGGCAGGACCTGTCCAGGTTCCCCTGTGGGTGCGTCCTGGGGGCCTGGCTTTCCCAGAGACCCCAGACACACCTGTGATCATGGTGGGGCCTGGCACTGGTGTGGCCCCCTTCCGAGCAGCTGTTCAGGAACGCGTGGCCCAGGGCCAGACTGGTGAGTGCAGGGTTCCAGGGCAGGGTCACCATGGGCTGGCTTGACTGAATCCCCAGGGCCTGTGTCCAGTCTTGAGGCCCCCTGTATTCCCCAGGAAACTTCTTATTTTTTGGCTGCCGCTGGCGGGACCAGGACTTCTACTGGGGAGATGAGTGGCAGGAACTGGAGAAGCGGGGCTGCCTGACTCTTGTCACAGCCTTTTCCCGGGAGCAGGTGGGTGTGTTCAGGAGCCCGGGCAGGGCAGGAGAGAAGAGAGTCTAGACTTACCCCTGCTACCAGCAGGGGCAGAAAGTATACGTGCAACACCGACTCCGGGAGCTAGGACCGCTGGTTTGGGAGCTGCTGGACCACCGTGGCGCCTACTTCTACCTGGCTGGGTGAGCCCTGGTCATGGTGTGGTGGAATGGGCCCAGCCCTCTGGGGCTCCCAGCCATACTGAATCCTCTGGCCTGCTCCTCCAGCAATGCTAAGTACATGCCAACGGATGTCATGGAAGCCCTGATGTCCATCTTCCAGGAGGAGGGTGGGCTCTCCCACCCCAACGCAGCCACCTACCTTGCCAGACTCCAGCGGACACTGCGCTTCCAGACTGAGACCTGGGCTTGAGGAACTACCTAGCAAAGGGGCCTCTTGCCCCTGTTTGTTACCTGAGCCCTGGAGTCCATATCAAGACCAGGGCTGGTGCTCCTAGGCTTCAGCTGGCTTAGAAGGCCCTCCTTGCACACAGCCACACCCCAGGGGGACCCAGGGCCCCACACTCTCAGCCTTGACTCCACTGGCTACCCTTCACCTGCACCATCCCATCCCATTTTCCCATCAGGTTGGTGCTCTGGCCTGGTGCAATGCTCCAGGAAGGCCCCCACCCTGATGGGTACCAGGAACCTAATGAGCCCTTCCCGAAGTTTAGGGTCCTGTGAGGGCTCCCTTTCTTCAGTTTGCAGGGACCATGCTGTCCCCAGTCACCCTGCAGCACCCACAAAACTCAGGTTATTGTTGGAGACCATCAAGACCCCCGACTTCCTGAGAAGCAGGAAGAGGCCAGCCCCTTCCTTTCCTGATTCAGGAAACTTTGGCAATAAACATGACCGTTGGGCAGCTGCTCCCAGGGTGCTCCTCTACCTTCCTGGTGCTGTGGGGGGTAGTGGGCCACAGCTCCTCTGCATGGGTTGGGTTGAGGATGACCCTCTGTAGGCCCCTGCACCTGTAACGATGCTCGTATGCCATTGGTCAGCTGTCTGCCTGAGCACTCCTGTGCTGGAGTATTTTAACTGGATGGTGAGCCCTGCTGTTGCACACTTGTACCTAGGGCCTTGAATTCCCCTCTTGTAGAACCCTGCCCCACCAAGCACCCGGGCATCCCAGAGCCACGGGGAGGCGCTGGGGCTGGAGGCGGGGCGTGCGGTCCTGCCCCTGGGTGGGGCCTCTGGCAATAGGAGGGGTGCACTGTGGGAGGAGTCAACTCCCTGACTGGAGGGCTGGAGGAGCGTCTGTTTGGTCAGCTCTCTGGAGGGATCACCCCACTTGGGCCCAGGAGCCACCTGGAGCTGGCACGCAGCAGGGACCTACGCAAAGTTTACTTCCAGTGGTGACTGTGAGCTCAGAGGTACGGCTGGAGGTCAGTATTCTGAGGAAACGGCGGGTGAAGTGCAGACCCTGCCCAGTCCTGGAGGGCCACAGGGACTTTTCACCCCACCAACTGCCTTTGCCAGGCTGGAGTCCCCTCCCATCCATCCTGATTCCTGCCCTGGGTCCCCCACATTGGGCCCCAGTGAGCACAGCTCTGGGTACAGCAGTCCATCTTGGGCCCTGCTGGACCCTGAGCACTTGGGCCCACCAAGCCAGCTCCCAGCAGAAGAAGGGAGTGATCTCCGGGCCTTCCAGGGTTCCAGAACTCTAGACAGTGAGTCCCTGCTGGAGACCAGAGTCCAGGTTGGCACCTGGTCCCTGCCAACTGGACAAGAGCAAGAAGAGGGTGTGGGGGAGGAGTGCCCTATCTGCACAGAGCCCTACGGGATGGGCGAGCACCGCCTGGCCCTGCTGAACTGTAGACATGGCCTGTGTGTGGGCTGCCTGCACCAGCTGCTGGGCACCGCCCCCAGCACCGACCTGGGCCGTGTGCGCTGCCCGCTGTGTCGCCAGAAGACACCTGTGCTGGAGTGGGAGATCTGCCGGCTGCAGGAGGAGCTGCTTCAGGCTGACGGGCCCCAGTGCCCACCACCTCCCTCACCCCCAACACCTGCCCTTCGTGGCCCTGGGCCCTGGGGCTTCCTAGAACACCGCTACCAGCTGCGTTTCCTGGCAGGGCCTGTGGGTGGCCGGGGCTGCCTGCCCTTCCTGCCTTGCCCGCCCTGCCTAAGCACCTGGTTGTGGGCACTGCGGGAGCGTGGGCCCTGCGCCCGCCGCCTGGCACTGCTGAGCCTGCTAGTGCTTGAGCTGCTGGGGCTGCTGCTCATCTTCATGCCACTCATGCTGCTGGGGCTGCTCTTCATGCTCCTGGACCGCTCTGGCCGCTGAGCAGAACCCAGGCACTGGCCTTCAGTCCAGACCTACTGTCACTGAACCCAAGACCAGGACCCAGGGCTACCCAGAAGCCCGACTCTACCAGAAAGCCCCCTCCCCCCCCCCCCGCCCTCATGACCCAACTCTGACGAGCCCAAGGACATCATGCCAAGGACAGCTGCTAGAGGAGGCCAGTCCAGCAGAAATGTCTGTGAGCAGGGCCCCACATGCTTGCAAGTGACAGTCTGGCCATGGGCACACACTGGCCCACACCTCCACCTTCCAAGGTCCAACTGAGCAGGCAGATGTGAATGTGAACAGAGATCTGGCAGTGAGTCTGTTCCCTGGAGAGGACAGGGGCTCACCCATACTACAGGCCGGTGTGCATCCCTGAAGGTCAGGGTGGCCAGCAGGAGGAGCCTGCACTGTACATGCCCAACCTGGGCCAGGACCAGAGGGTGGTCTGGAGCATCCAGGGTGCCACCACTAGATGTGTGTTGCAAGGCACAAGGGCCCATGCAGGCCCTGGAGCTTGAGGAGTGCCAGGCCAAAGCCCCTGCTCTGCCTGCCTGCACCACCTCCCACCTCCAAGCCTAAGGCCCTCACCTGAAAAGGGGGACAGCTGTGGCCTACCTCACAGCTTGTTGGTGATGTAATGTGAGACCCAGCACTGTGTGCTAAGTGCTGTCCTGGCAAAAGTGGTTCTCAATAAACAGTAGCTGCTAATACCATTGTTGCCCTGCCTGTCCTTGCTGTTACCCCACCTCCACCATCCAGGCTGCTGTCCCTACAAAGTATCCTTGCAAAGGTACTTTCTACAAACCCAAGTGGTCCAGACATCAAGACAGGAGACCTGGGTCCTTGTACTCTCATCACAGTCTTGGGCCATCTGGAAACCACTGCTCATAACTGGCCCAAAGGTTTTTCCTACATAACCGTGGTAGACCAGCACAGGTACTCAGGACCAGGTGAGTTCTCCATACAGCCACTGGCTGGTGCCAAGGGAAGGTCCTAGTTGCCCGGCTGGGCAGTTCTGCACATTTGCCACACAGCCCTCTGTGGTGCACACTAGCAGCCCTTCTGCACCAACATGAGGGGGACTTGTTCACAGCCAGACCCGGTCCTCCCAAGGACATGCTCACCAAGCTTGAGAAAGCCAACCCTGAGCAGAAGGTGGCCTCCCTCTTGCAGGTGCCCACCCTGTGCCCAGGCTTGGGCATAGCCCATAGCTCTAGTCCAGGGGACAGGTACAAACTTTGGCAAAGAGTTTTAATGGCAAAGTTGGCTGCAGTGACAATGCCACATGGGGTGGGACCAGAAGCCATAGTGGGTGAGGAAAGGTCGGCAGGCAACAGGGCAGGGCCAGATCCCTGAAGCAGCATCGAGCGAGGACTGGCACGCAGTAGTGGGCAGGTGGGCACTACATGATGGAGCAGGCGGACAGTGGGTTCCGCACGTGGCAGGTGCACGCAGCTCCACAGTACTGCCGGAAGGTCTGGTAGCAGCTGCCCTCAGGCTCACCCCCCCATTGGCCACCGGATGGGGCAGTCAGTGCCTCCGGAGGCAGGCGACTCAAGATGGATGTATTGACAGCCAGCGCAGCCAGGCCATAGTCAGTGAAGAGCACAGTCTCACGGCGGCAGGTGGGGCAGGAGATGAACTTGTACTTGGGGCAGGACTCATAGAGAATCTGCAGGCACTGCTCACACACAGAGTGCAGGCAAGATAGCACTCGGGGCCGCCGCTGGGTAACGTTGTATGTGTGCCCGCAGGTGGGGCACTCCAGGGGCTCACCTGCTGCAACTGTCCCAGTCCCTGATGAAGAAGCCACAGAGGCAGCCGGTGCAGGCCGAATCACATACTGATTCACAATGACCTCGTCCGCTGGCGCCACTCGGGGGAAGCCCAGTTCAGAGCTGCCCTTGCGGGGCCGCCGTGGCAAGGGTGGGGTGTGAGGTGCCCCTTCCAAGGCAGGCATGTCCCCCCCACATGCCTGGTTGACAATGATCTCTGTGTGTGAGGGCCAAGCACGCTTGGGTGCCAGAGTGGGGGTGGGCCGGGGTGCAGGTGGGAAGCAGGGGGCAGCTGCCGGGAGTTCAGGGAACTTTTCAGGATGGACAATTTTCATGGCCTCCATCTTGAGGATGACATGTGGGCCCTTCAGGCAGGACATGAGGAGGCCCGGCCAGCCACTGCCCACCTCGGGCCCAGGGTCAGCCGGCATTCGGCTGTCTGCAGTCAGACTGGACTTTCGGGTAGGAGAGGGTGTCGGTGAGGGGCGGGGAGGAAGAGAGGGAGCAGCATCCTGGTCCTGCCAGGCCTGGTGGGGACCCCGGCAGCCCCGTGGACTCCTAGGGGCAGCCGGTGAGAGCTGGGGGGTCAGCCCCCCGCCCAGTGGCCACAGTGGCTTCTCTGGTCCAGTCCTGGGAGGAGGAGGAAGTGGTGGTGGTGGGGGAGGCAAACGGGGACAGGGAGGTGTGGGGGGCTGCCCTGGGCTGGAGGTCTGACCTAGGGGCTCACCCAGGGTCGCTGGCTGCTGAGGCTGGCAAGGGGGCGTGAGGGGAGCCCCCCCAGCAGCCGAGGTCAGCAATCCCTGGGCCGGGACATCGGGGCAGGCAGGGGCTAGGTGGGCCCCATGGCTCCAGGACAGGGCGCCCAGGGAAGGCAGCTAGCCTGGGCACTGGTTGCAGGAGGACCTGGGCGGCAGGCTCCGCGGCACGATCAGAGGAGAGGCCTGCACCAGGCCCGAGCTGAAGGTGAGAAATAGCATGAGGGGCGCACTCCGGCCCATTTCCACCCTCGCCCTCACTCCCACCCTGCACAAAGGACGGACGCCCGACCTCTGACCCTGACCTCGGGCGGTAAGAACCCGACCTCCGCGGGACCCAGTTCCCTCCCCAGTCCCCGCCTCCAAGGCCAGACACTCGGTCCGGAGGGCTGACCCTGCCAGGGTGGGTAGGGGCGATGAGTCGGACCCCCGCCCCTCCCCCGCTCACCTGCCCCAGCCTGGCGTCCCCGGGCCGCGCCGCCGCCGCAGAGGTTGTCTCAAAGGCAGGCCCGGATGCGGCGCCCGCGCCTTGGCCGGGTGGCTAGAAGGCTCGGGAGATTCAGGCAGCTCGGGCGGCTCCGGCGGCGACCTCGGGCGATGGCGGGCGCGGGCGGCACCCAGGGGCGCGGGCGCGGGGCTCGGGGCGCCGGGCTCAGCGCGGCGGCGGCGGCAGGTGCGTGCGGAGCGTGGCGCGCTCTGCGGCGGAGGCGCGGGGACCGCAGTGCGCGCGGCGCCCGCCCGCGCCCGCAGCGCCACCCCCTGTCTGGGGACCCGCGCGGGGTCCGCGGGGCGGGGCCAGTCTCTCGGCCGCCCCTCGATCGGTTCCAGGCCCGGCGCCGCTCCTGGGGTCGCCCTCCCCTGTAAGCTGCGTATGGGTCAGGACCCCCATTTTGCCCCCCAATCCGTCCCTCCCCTGCTGGCTGACCCTGGGTCCTGGCAACCCCCCACCCCCAACTCTGGAAGGAAAATCCTCTTTTTTCCTTGACATTTTGAGGTCTCACAATGCCCCAAGTGGGGAGGAGAGAGGACCCCAGAGGGGTTTCTAGGAAAGCTGGGTCCCACCCACCGCCCCACCTTGTGCCTGCCCTCGCGTGATCCCCAGGAGTATGGTCTCTGCTTGTCCTTCCACTCGGCCCCCCGTGGAAATGCCTCGTGTTCTGCTCATCCGCACACCCACGCGCGCCCAGTCCTGGATGGCTCAGAGAGGGATGTGACTTCAGGAGGGATGAGCATGGGGAGGTCAAGCAGATACCACAAGAGTGGACCAAGGGGGTTCGGGGGTCAGGAGACTTGGAGGAGTGGTGGACAGATGGGTGGGGTGAAGTATGCGGAAGGTTGAAGATGGCTGGATAGTTGGACAGTTCACGTGTTGGGTGGAGAGAGCAGCCCACGGAGGACACTCACCTGCCCAGGATGGGAGTGGCCCTCCTGGCATCCCATCAGGTCAGAACGAAGGCACGCCGTCATCACTCGTTGTGTGCTAACCTGACCCCACCCAGCAGAGAGGCCCCATTCCTTTCTGTTTTCTCCTCAGCAGGGTTCCCTGTCCATTGGCTACAGTCTCTCCCCACCCGTGGGGAGCCCTCACGTGAGGAGAGGACCCCCGGGTGACTCTCCTGCTGGATGACCCCTGCTGGTAACTGCAGGGCTGGGGATCGAGAGCGTCAGGGCCTCCGGAGTGCCATCCCTCGCCCTGCAAGGCCACCATGTAGCACGCTGCCACTTCAGTGACCAGGCTCTGTGCCTGACCCTAGACAGCCAGGCCTCCTTCAGGGCCACAGCCTCTCTCCTCTCTACAGGCCAGACCAAGGGAACGGTGTTCCTGTGGAGCAACACGGGGCCGCCTTGTGGCTCTGCGGGACTCATTCCACCGAGCAGACGTGAGAGGTGTGCAAGTGAGCAGGAGTGCATCTGAAGGGGCGGCATTATGGGGCCTACCATGACCGTGGGGCAACTGAGGTGCTGCGGCCAGAAGGCCTAGAGCCCACCCTCGGCTGCAGGATCTGTGCACTGACCTGCGGGCTCGCCAGTCCCGCACGTGAGGAGGCACCCGGCCGTCGACTCCACCCCTTGCTTGAGGCCCCGCCCAGTAGAGCGTGGCCCCGCCCCGTAAAGATTCAGGCCCACCCCGCCCCGCCCTTCCGGGAGGCCCAAGCCAAATATCTAAGCTTCCGAACCGGGTCTTTTGAGAAACCCTGAAGCGCTGAGGCTTCTGGGGGAATAGTCTCCACTGAGCGCCCCAGCCCGGATCGCGCATGCGCCAGACTCCGCCTTGTCGCTAGGGGCGGGGTCTGAGAGAGCGATGGGCGGGGCCTCCGACGCCTTCGCAGTGTGTTCCCGTTTTCTGCCTCCGAAGCCCCGAAGCCGGAGTTCCCAGGCCCAGTTCACCACACGTTCTGGTTAGCCAGAAGTCGTGTCCGGACTGATTTGACCGCCTCACGCAGGCCATCCCGTCACCCTGGTCATCGGGCCACCTCCCATTTGGTCCCTGTGCTTCCCCGGCGGGAGTTCTGCAGGTGCAGGGTCTAGGGGAGCCCACCAGTGCCCAGCCGGCCCCCGAGAGCTTGCACCTGTTGTCACCCCCACGACCCTGCGTGACTGCTAAAGACCAGGGAGCCGAAGCTGCGGAGTTGGGAAGGGGCCAGGGCCAGAGATGGGGCACTGGGGGCAGGTTGGCCCAGCCCACCAACCGGAGGGAAAGTGTAGTTGGGGAAGTGAGCTGAAAACACTGTTACTTGTGTCTGAAGTCCGTGTGGTCAATTGCAAGCTAAGTAAGGTTTACCTACCAAGTTGTGTCAAACGTTTATTGTTAACTAGAAAAGTGGAAAATCCCCAAGTAGCTGGTGTAGGCTAGGGAGGAACTCAGCCCCAGCTGGGGCACTGATGGATTCAAACAAGGTTTGGGGACCCCAGACCACTGGCAGGCCCTAAGATCTGAGGGCTGATCCCACTTCCTCTGTGGGGCCATGACCCCAGGTTTTCCTTGGTGAGACATCGAGGGTGCAGAGCATGCCCTGGATGCATCCTGCCTGAGTCACCCCAGGTTGGCGGTGCCCCTCAGAGCCCAAACCTTGGCCACACCTATCTGAGAATGAGGGGTGGGCGGGCTGCTGTGCTCCAGTTGCTGGGGCCTCTAGGGATCTTGGGAGCCCCATCTTTGAGCTCCACCCCAGGGCCCCACCCCTCCCGAGGAGGGAAAAGGGAGCTGCCAGGCTGCGCTCACAGGCTCTAGGAGGACTGGGAGGACAGACTGCCACCACTGGCCCTGCAGGTGAGTTCTGGCTGTGGGTTCTGATCTGTTCTCAGGGTACCCAGGAGAGCCCCTGCCCTTCCTGGGCCAACCCAGCTGTGTCTCCTAGCTTCCCCAACCCCATTTCCAGCTTCATCCCAGGGGCAGGGCCAGAATACTTTGGGGGTGGCAGCTGGAGACTCTGGCCTTCACTGTTGGTAAGCTCACACCCGGGCTCACCTCTGTGAAATGTGGGCCTTGCATATGCTGAGGGCTCTGTGCCCGTGAACACTGATGTCTTGGGGATGCAGGCCCTGACTAGGCAGGCCTCTCCTGGGCTGCAGCTCTCAGGCAACTGTCCTCCTCTTGACCTGATGTCTGCATCTCTGCTTACTCCTACAGCCTGTGCCATGGACCCTCACGAGATGGTGGTCAAGAACCCCTATGCCCATATCAGCATCCCCCGGGCTCACCTGCGGCCTGACCTGGGGCAGCAGTTAGAAGAGGGTCCCTCATCCACATCCTCAGAGACGCAGCCTCTGCCAGAGGTGACCTGCACCCCAGAGCCAGCCTGTCTCCTGCAGCCCACCAAAGGCCCAGGACCCAAAGGGGCCAAGGGGACTGCTCCTGACCAGAGCCAGCAGGCCTGGAAGCAGCCGTGCAACCCCTATGGCAGTGGACAGCGCCCAGGAGGACTGACCTATGCCGGTCTGCCACCCGTGGGGCGTGGGGATGACATTGCCCACCACTGCTGTTGCTGCCCCTGCTGCTCCTGCTGCCACTGCCCACGATTCTGTCGTTGTCACAGCTGCTGCTGTGTGGTCTCATAGCTACCCACCCCATCGGGGCTGTGGGCCTAGGCCTCTGCTCAGCAGCCAAGGCAGTGCTGGACATTAGGGGCGGCCATGTCTTGGGCATCTCTAATTTCTGCCCCTGGACAATGGGCATTTGCCCACCAGGAAGACTACCAGCTCAGACTGGGCCCTTTGGAACAGAGTCCTGGACACTGGCTGTGTTGATGGTGATAGGGACACCCTGATGCTTCCAACAAGGCCCTGGCAATAAAGCAGTGTGAGCTCTGTGCCAGCAACCCCTCCTTTGCGGCTGGCTCCTCTGGGAGGGGTCCCAGGCTAGACAACAGCATCTTCCCACATGCGGACACTATGCACACACAGCCTCCCCAGCAGGCTCCCGGCCTCCAGGGGATGGCCAGGCTACTTTGCACTCCCTGCCTGAGCCTGAAACCCTGAGCAGGATCAATCCCAAGTCACATGGCAAAAGGATGCCATGCATGGTTCTTGGGGTGGGGGATCCCCAAGAAAGGCAGAAAGATCAGGTTGGTAGGATGGTGGAGGGAGGAGCAGGTGCGGGGCACTCAGGAGAGCAAAGCCCAGGAGTCAGGATGGAGCCCTGCCCCCTGTGAGTCACCTCCCAGTCTGAGCCAGGTGGTTTTTCTGGTTTCCCACAAAACATGGAATTCCTGCACATCCAGATCCGTGCTTCTTGCCTGCTGTCCCACACCAGGCTGGGCTTCTTGAAGGCAAGGCAGGGAGGGGGCTGGGTGGAGGAGGGGCCACGGTGCCAGCTCCCCTGTCTGTCATCGCAGGTGCCTGTCCACATGTAAGGACTAGATGCCAGGGCAGGGAGTGCATGAGAACTCCCCCTATGGGCATCCTGACATTTCTGGGGCAGGGCAGAGACATGGCACCACATGGAGGTGGCAGTTGAGCTGGCCTCACAAGACAGACAGGTCCTCTGTGGCCAGCCCTCCCCTGCCACAAAAGGACAGGCAAGGCAGGTGTGTTGTGTGTGGAGGTCTCTGGGCGTGAGCGGACAGGTCATTACTCTACCTCTGTGCTGGGTTCCTTGTCCCTGCTCCATGGCTGGCCCCCACCCAGGCAGGGGAACCTGTCTGACCAGTCCTGGAGGCAGACTGCCAAGGCGGTGGGCAGGAGGAAGAAGAGCACTTCTGCCCTTGGACTTCCTCCCAGTGGGGCTGAGTGGTCCTTGGGACTCTGCTAGTCTGTTCCAACCCTACTGGGTGCCCCCAACTCTGTTGTGCCTGTGCTCTTTGTCACGGGGCACCTCACCACACCTTCCAGAACCAAAGCTTCCTGGGCTGGCCTGGAGGCCACAGTCCGGCAGAGGCCAGCTGGGAATGTTGGAGGGGGTCTGAGATGGTCCCTGTGTAAGGGGAACTGCCACCCATGGTGTGTGAGTGCCACCTTGTGGCCTAAAGGGCTGGCCGCTGCGTATGACTGGAACATCGCAGACCCAGCCTGGCAGGCACTGGGGAGAAGGACGTGCACCCCTGAGGGAGGCTGCAGGGAAGCCAGGACCCTCGGGCTCTGAGTTAGCAAGGTGCTGGGCAACCTTCCTGGAGAAGGAGACATGAGCTGGGGACTGAAGAGGGACTTGTCCCAGCCTGAGGCCAGAAAGCTGTGTGGTGAGGAGCGTTTGTGTGAGCAGGGAGGGTGTGGGAGAAAAAGGGTGAGAGTGGGGGACATGGGGAGGGTGAGAGGTGAGGAGGGGGAGTTCTGAGGAAGAACTGCAGAGGCCAGGTCTGCTGGGTTTATGGCAGACAGGAAGGGAGTGGTGTGAAGGGGAGGGGTCAGCCTGCTTCCTGCGAGTGGGTGTGCCTCAGATCCCGTTGCAGGTGCTTGGTGGCTGAAAGGGGAGCCCACTGCTGCTGCAGCCGCCAGCTGCCTCCTGCCGCCTGGCCCATGCTAGGGCCAGTAACGCGAGCCCAGGGAGGGAGTCCCAGGGTGCCCTGGGTCCTCACACTGTTTCTCTGGCCACCCACTGGCTGGGCATAGCTGCCCAGTGGAGCTGAAACAGGTAAGCGCCTCTAGGGCTGAAGCAGCCTGGGCAGGGTGGGCCAGGGTTGCACAGGAAGGCCATGGGTGGAAAGGGAAAGGATGCTGACCAGCCAGTGGCCACGAAAAACCAGAGAGCACACCCGGCCCTAGTGTCTGATCGCCTGAGGGCTGCTACCCACCCTAGAAGTGCAGCCCTGTGGCCAGCCCCCAAGCTCTTGGTCCTAGCACCCCACCTGTGCCAGATGGTCACAGACACAGGTGGATGTGAGCTGTGACCTGTGTCACTGCCCCTGCCAGCTTCCCTGCACATCTCCCCTAGGATGCTGCAGCCTGAGACCCCCCAAGCCCTTGAGGAGGGGACAGGCCCTGGGACCCTGCGGGACGACTGTGTCATCTGCTACTCAGCCTATGACCTCTCTGGGCACCTGCCCCGCCGCCTCTACTGTGGCCACACCTTCTGCCAGGCATGTGTTCGGCAGCTGGACACCCTGGCCCACGAGCAGCACTGGATCCCCTGTCCACAGTGCCGCCAGAGCACACCCACACCCCGTGGAGGGGTGGCCATGCTGGACCTCGACCTGGCCGCCTTCCTGGCAGTCAAGGCTGAGCAGGAGCCACCGAGAATGGAGCGCCGCCCCCCTGCGCCCCTCAAAGGCAGCGCCCCCGTCACTCAGCAGCCAGCTGGGCTTTGCCCCGCCACGGGCCCCCAGCCTCGCTTTCCCCAGCCCAGAGGCGGCTGCTGGGGCTGCGGCAGCCTGTGCTGGAGCCCCCAGGGCAGCCCTGAGGTCTGGGCTCCTTCCCACTGCTGTGGGGGGCACTGCTGCCCAAGCCTGCACTGGAACCGCTGAATACATGCGGTCCACTCACAGCTTGGTGACAGGGCATCCTGGGTACAGCCTCACATGGCACAGCATGATGCTGCCACCCCAACTGTGATGCCCTCAGGTCACAGCCTAAGGTCGGGGACTATTGGCCATAGTGCTGCAGACTCCACAGGAAGCTGGTGACCTCCCACCAACCTGGCCAGATTCCTTGTGTGTCCAGATGGCTGCCGCTGAGGCACCTGCAAGCCAGCCCAAGCTTGGACTCACCCAGAGGTGGTTCCTAAGCGGCTCTGGGCCGCGGCTGTTCCTGAATGGATGTGGGCCTCCCTCTCTTGCACATGGTCCGAGGTGTGAGCCAGGAGCGGAGGGCAGGGCCATCTCCTCCATCCCTGACCTGCACAGGAGCCCTGTGAATTTGTCTTTCAACAACGTTCACTGAGCTCTACCACGTGTCAGGCACTGTTCTGGGAGGGTCTCCACAGCACACAGCAACCAAACACGGTGACAGGCATCAAGGAGAATGCTGTGGGCAGGGCCAGCTCTGAGTCTCAGGTCACCCAGCCCAGCTGGCCACAGACCCTTTACAGGGGTCAGAGGCTGTGGACACTGATGACCCCCCAAGACAGAGCTATAACAGCCTTATCCCCATAGCAAGGAGCTGTCATTCAGGAGACCTGGGGGGCTCCCCTTGGCAGTGTGGGACAGAATAGGGAGGAAAGAGAATTTGCTGAGTGGACAGAGGCCTCTTTCTTCCCTGGGGCAAAGTCCCCTATGCTCCTGGTGGTGGGGATGGGCATGAGCATGGCAGGGTGCTGGAGCCAGTAGGGCTTATGGGGAAAGAGCCAGCCCACATGCCAGGGGCAGCAAGGAGCCTAACCCCAAGAAAGGGCATCCCACAAGTTATAGGTCAGGCCATCAGCTGGGGAGCAATGTTCAAATGGGGGGATCAGGGAGTCAACTGGGCAGTATGGCCTGGGATGGGCTCTGCCCTCCTCCCTCCCTCTCTGCAGATGGAGCCACCATGCCCTGGACCCCACTACTGGCCATCACTAGGGCTAGCCTGCTGAGAGCCTGGCCAGGCCCCACCCTGCCCTGAACCAGGATCCAAACCCTGGCCAGTTGCCTCTCCAGGCCACCTGAGAAAGCCTGTCCTCCCTGCACACCTACAGCAAAGGGCTTCCTTCTACCTTCTGTCAGGGCAGGGATGACCAGGATAAGGTCCACAGAGCACCAGCAGCCTGCCCTGCGTGGTAAAGTGTCCTTTAGTCACACAGACACCTATGGAGGACCTCCAGGGTCCAGCCCTGCAATGCCCCTGACCTAAAATGGGGCCCATCTTTGGGAGGCACCCCACTCCAAGAGAGCTTGGCTGGGGACTCAGAGCTCCTAGCTCCAGGGAGACCAGGGCCTGGGCAAGGCCCCTGGGCCTTGGAGCCAGGCAGGGTCTCCCCTCGGGGGCCTCAGCTCCTGGGTAAACATTAATGGGGCTCGGCACACAGCAGGTCATGTGCGCACCCAGCGGATCTTTGACCTGCAGCTGCTCCTGCTGGCTCCTCCCCACAGGTGCCCCTCAACACGCACACAGGTAGGAGCCCCTAGAACCAGGCCCCGCCAAGGATATGGAGGCCTGGTGACTGCCAGGCCCAGGGCTTGGGCCCCAACCTGGGCCCCCAGGATCTAAGGCAAGTGAGGCCATCTTAGGACAGAAAGGAGGGGTGACACAAAGGACCCCCAGACCTGAGTTCAGGGGTCTGGGAGGGAGTCAGGGTAGAGGGCTCAGACAGGCAGTTCCAGGCCCAGCAGACAACAGATGCAGGAGCTGTGGGGAGAAGAGCCTTGTGTGGGCCGGGGTGTCCAGGACCCTTGCTCTACTCCTCATCCTGGGGGGTGGAGCCCTTATCAAGTGGAGACGTCACCATTTGGTATCAAATGCCAAAGTCTACGCTGGGACCATCGCAGTGTCCCCAATGACACCTGATAGGAGAGGTCTCAGGGTTCCCTACCTCCTGCACACTTCTCGCCGGCAGGCACCCAGAGCCCAGCCAAGCCTTCTTCCAGCTGGGACCAGTGGGGAGCTGGGGAGCCGGGGCCCTCTTGACTCTGCAGCCCCAAACTGGACTAGGCTATCGTGGCAGCGGCCTGAGGTCACTACAGCTGCCCCCCTGTGAGGTGCGGGAGGGGTGGTGGTGAGGGGCAGCAGCCAAGGCCTCGGGTTGGAGGACCTAAATTCAGCTGATTGGCATGTGGGGTGGCAGGGGAAGAGACATCTCTCACTGTCTTCCCCAGCAGATCTGAGTTTGGGCCTTGGTCTCTCCCTGCCCCAAATCCATGCCGAATTCCCTCGCTGGTGACCAGGTTCCCCCCCCAACTCTGGACACGGTTGACCTGGTGGACTGGAGTCTGAGAAATGCAGGTACCGGGAGCCTCAGGGAACACCCATGTCCAACAGCACGCCCTGAACAGGGGAGGGAATCTGGCTGAGCACCTGAACCTGAAGAGCCATGGGGGTTACTGACCACTCTGCTCAGAGCCAGAGCCCTAGTCCTCACCTTCTCCTGCTACGACCCCAAGCCCCTTATGCCCAGTCCCTCCCCTTGCCTGTCCTTTTTTTGTCCCCTTCCTGGGGACTCGACTCCATTCTACAGGAAACTCCAGTTCTGTTTCAGTCTTAGACGAGGGGACCAAGGACCCATTGGCCCTTCCTCAGCTGAAGGACACTGGCCAGCTGAAAGGTAGGCCTCTGGTACTGGGGGTAGCAGGTAGCAGACCCTTTACTCCCCAGATCTGTGAAGAGAGAACAGGGCAACTCTTGCCTGCATAGGCCCCATGGAAATTCGCTGCCCCTCAGCTCAGCTACCTTCCCTGCCCTGAGGTGAAGGGCCACGCTGCCCACCTTCCCTCCTCTTCCTCCCTGCTGGTGATCACACTTCCAGGAACTACTAGGGTGTGGGCTTGGCCACCCTGCCAAGGAACAGGAGTGGGGAGCCAGTCCCCACCTTGGGGACCCTCAGAGGAATAAAAGGGGCCTGTACCATGGGACAGAAGGGGTTCCTGGACTCTACCTGAGAGGTGACAGAGAAGACAGCTCCACCCTTGGAGGACAGAGAAGAAAGGGAGGTGGGGGCAGAGTGCGGGCTGGCTGAGGACAGTGCTGCCATGTGTTCCCAGGGCTCAGTATGGCCAGCAGACTGCGCCTCATGGGCATCAGCTTCCTGAAGGCCTGTGGGCTCCTGGGCAGCCTCTATTTCTTTATCTGCTCTCTGGACATCCTTAGCTCTGCCTTCCAGCTACTGGGCAGTAAGTGACCAGATGGGCAGTTGGGGCTGGGGCAGGCTGTCAGCCCTCTGTAACTTCAATGAAACTCTTTTGGACACAGGCAAAATGGCAGGAGACATCTTCAAGGAGAGTGTGGTGCTGTCCAACCCTGTGGCTGGACTGGTCATAGGTGTGTTGGTCACAGTCCTAGTACAGAGCTCCAGCACATCCTCCTCCATTGTGGTCAGCATGGTGTCGTCCAAGTGTGAGTGTACCCCCCCTTATCCATAGTGGTGGGGGTAGTGGGGCAGGTGGGGTGGCTGACACGGTGTCCCCACAGTGCTGACCGTCCAGGTGTCTGTGCCCATCATCATGGGCGTCAATGTTGGCACATCCATCACCAGCACCCTGGTCTCAATGGCACAGTCTGGGGACCGGGACGAATTTCGCAGGTGAGTCAGGGCTGGGGGACGGGGCGGGGCGGGGCAGGGGCTGCAGCCGCCGTAGCCCAGTCTCCCAACAGCCCCCTGTGGGTATAGGGCCTTCAGTGGCTCAGCAGTGCACGGGATCTTCAACTGGCTCACGGTGCTTGTCCTACTGCCGCTGGAGAGTGCCACCGCCATGCTGGAGAGGCTGAGTGAGCTGGTCCTGGGTGCTGCCAGCCTGCAGCCGGGGGGGCAGGCCCCTGACATCCTCAAGGCGCTGACACAGCCTCTCACACACCTCATTGTGCAGGTGAGAATGGCCATATCCTCAGGACGCCCGTGGGCCTGGCCACTGAAGGGAAGGAGGTGGAGGCCCTGCCCTGGACAGGGGCCAAGCAAGGTCTGAGCCTGCTCCAGCTGAGGGAGAGGGGAAGGCATAAGTAGGCAGAGCAGGACTAGCCCTGTGGACTTCTGAATACAAATCACAACCCCTCTGTCCCCAGCTGGACAGCAATGTGATTGCAGGCAGTGCTACTGGCAATACTACCAACAGCAGCCTCATTAAGCGGTGGTGTGGCATCAGGGCAGAGATGGTGAGGTGCCCCTGATCCCAGTCCTTCATTTGACCTCTGATCCACCAAATCACCCCACCCACTCTGACCCTTGAGCCCTCTGATCTCCTCTGCTCATTGAACCTGTCCTGAGTTCTGTCTCCTGCCCCCCTGTTCCCCAGACGCAGGGTAGCAGCAACGAATGTGGAGCCTTTGGTCCCTGCACTGAGAACAACACAGTCCCTGAGGACAGGCTGCCCTGTGAGCCCCCTCCTCAGTCCCCCATCCTCCCCCACCCTTCCCTCCCCCGACCTCCCCCCTCCCCCTCCCACCACCCTTCCCCCTACCTCCCACCCGGCTGGCTGGGGCCAAGCTCACTGCTCCTCCCCCAGGCCAGCACCTGTTTGCGCACTCCACGCTCACAGACCTGGCGGTGGGCTGCATCCTGCTGGCGGGCTCCCTGCTGGTGCTGTGCCTCTGCCTGGTCCTCATCGTCAAGCTGCTCAACTCCCTGCTGCAAGGCCGCATAGCCCAGGCTGTGAGGAGTGTCATCAACGCAGGTGGGGGGGCGTCCCGTCCCCGGGATCTGGGACCTGAGAGCAGGGCAGGGACAAGCCCGTGACCCAGCTGCCCACCCCCAGACTTCCCCTTCCCCTTTGGCTGGCTCAGCGGTTACCTGGCAATCCTCGTGGGCGCTGGCCTGACCTTCCTGCTCCAGAGCAGCAGCGTCTTCACTGCAGCCATCGTGCCACTCATGGGTGAGCCCAGGAGGTAGTGGGTCTTGGGGGGCTCAGGATGGG